TCATTTCAAATTTGGTTTACCTCTTCCAGGAAGCCTTCCTGACCCTGAAATGTTATGTGAACATACTTCTTCTCTACTTAAATTTGTCTGGTTAATACTAATTCCAAAACAAAGAAGTGTAAGATTATGGAATAATAAAAACTCTGGGTTTCTTTAAACATTAGTTAGAGTTCTCCTAACAAATTCAAAGAATCCTCCTAATTTAGTATAACTCTAAGGACATAGATGTACCAGAAAAGATCCCTGATACTACACCTAAGGTCTTAAGGTCTATCCTTCAATCGCCTCTTTTCTGTTTTTATTGTGTTTTTTTTTTTTTAAGATTTTATTTATTTATTTGACAGAGAAAGACACAGCGAGAGAGGGAACACAAGCAGGGGGAGTGGGAGAGGGAGAAGCAGACTCCCTGCTGAGCAGGGAGCCCGATGCGGGACTTGATCCAGGGACTCCAGGATCATGACCTGAGCCGAAGGCAGTCGCCCAACCAACTGAACCACCCAGGCACCCTGTTTTTATTGTTTTAATGCAAGAAATGTCCATTTCCTGAAAGCTGAAAGCCGTTATCTTCCTCATTACTCACCTATGGTGTTTAACAACATATTCCCCACCCCCCAATAAATCACTTACTAATTAAAAACAGATATTTAAAATACCTGATATTTCAAATACCAAATATGCCTCAAAGATGTAATTGCCAGAACAAAACATAAACTAACAATATTAATAAAAACATTAACAAAGACATTTAATGAAATGCATGCAACCTATTATGCTAATGTACTTTTCAAAAGATTATTGAGATTTTATGAGGAGGTAGTTTCTGGATTTTCTTATTTTTAAGATAATTTCAATATTTAAGTAGGCCAGACATTTCAAAACATAACTAAAATATACCTAAAACATAACAAACAAATATAAAACATTAGAACAAAGTACTTGAACTGGTACTGAGAAGGGAATTTAGAGCCCTAAATGTGTGATCTATAGTAGAAGAGAGACTGAAATTAAGGAGCTATGAATCTATTTTTAAAATTTAGAAAAATATATAGCAGTGAAAGAAAGTCAAAGAAAATAAATAATACATATAAGACTGTATATCAATGAGAAAAATACAATAGGTAAAATAGAGTAAAAAAATTGGTTTTTGCTATGATTAATAAAATTGACAAGTTCCTGGTTTGAAAGATTAAGAAGAAATGAAGAAAAAAGTACAAATGATATTTGAAAGAAAAAGCAACATAAATTCAAGTGTTGCAGACCTGACATATTTTAGAACATTATGAATAAATTTTTAATAAATATGAATACTTAGATGTAATGGATAAATTGCTTGAAAAATACAGTTGCAGGAGAAATAGACAATCAACTAATACTATAACTATTTAAAAAGTTTAAGGTAGTAGTTAAAAATCTTTGCTCCAAAAAAAGTCCAGGTTCAGGTAGTTTCAGCTACCAGGTCTCTATAATTATTAACAAATATATAATTCTCATATGTAACAAGCAATTACAAAGTGTAGAAAAATAGAAATTATTACTCAAGTAATTTCTGAAGTTATTACATTATTACCAAAACTTGACAAGGGCTCTATGAGAAAGAAAATCTCATGTCCAATATTCACTCATGACTAAAAAGACTCAAAAATGCCAGCAAACCAAATCCAGTAATAAAGAAAAAGACAGATTTAGTCTAGAATTGCAAATTTGATTTCCATTACAAAATCGATAGAAATAATTTACCCAAATAACAGATTAAAGGAGAAAATTTATCTTACCTATTTTAATAGATGCAAACAAACAAAAAACCTTTGATAAAAACAACGTTCATTTAGGTTTAAACAAAAATAAGCCAGACTCTCAGCAAACTAGCTCCAGAAAGCTTAGCAACCATAATAAAGTGTATTTTTATTAAATAGAGACATAAAACCTTAAAGTATGTGTCTAATTTGCTATAGTCAGAATTGTAACAAGTCAAGAGTTGCCTCCAATAATCACTATTCACCATTACACAGGAGTACCTAGTAAGTGCAGTAACTAGAACTAAAAAAAAGAACAAAAATTATAAAATCCAGAATGGAAAAAAAATAAACACTGTCATTACTTGTAGATATTATAAGAATCTTCATTGAAAATTCAAGCTAACCTATAGGTAAATGATTATAATTAATAGAAGAGTTTAGAAAGTTTTCTAAGTTCAAATAAATATTAAAATTTATTAACACTCTATAAACTACCTACAAACAATATGGAATTTCAATAAAATCAATAACACATACAATACCCATATAACATTAGTTTTCTAGGAATAACACTAAAAAAAATCTGAGAATATAATATAAACATTTCATCTCTACAGATAATAAATAAGCAGCAAATAAATATAATATAGAATGGATGATTCAATACTGAAAAATAGTCAACTATCTCTTAATTTAATTAACCTCTACCCCAGAACCATGTACAAAAATATTTATAGCAACATTATATATAACAGCCAAAATCTAGGAACTCCCCAAATGCCAATGAAGAGGAGATGTTGTAGAAAATTAAACAATGGTAGAAATGAATCAACTAGAATTACACCCATTGACAGAAATGAATCTCAAAAATAATTTTAAGTAAAGGAAGAAAGTCATACATTATGATTGAATTTTTAGATCAAGTCCAAACACAGGAAAAATGCAACAGTATTTGTTTAGGTATACACAAATAGGTAGTAAAAATCTACACAGATGATCCTTTTCCTTGGTTTAGATATAAAGGCCAGAAATGTTTATTTTGATTATGTACTTGCTTGTATATTTGTGTGCAATAGCCCTTTTATTTATGTTCTATTTCATATAAATTAAAAAATGATGAATTTTAGTCTATTTTGTCATATCTTCCAGTGAATCATATAACATCTTAGCAATGAAAGTTTTTTTTAACTCCATAGAAAATTCACACTTTAGAAAATTTGTTATATTACCAATTTTCTTTGTAAGCCAACTTTCCCTTGGCCCAAATAAGATGAGGACATCAACAGCATGTTTATACAGGATGCAGAAAGAGTTATATGAAGCAGAAATAAATGTGGAGTACTGGATTTTGCATCCAAACTCATCAGCACAAGTGAAGGTTAGTCATACCAAATCAAGTGAAAGAAACTTAGATGAATTAATAATTATAGTTATCATTAGTTGAGTTTATAACATGTCCAAATAATTGGCCAATTACTTTAGGTATATTTTCTTTAGTCCTTACAGCAGTTCTGCAAAGAGTAATATCAGAAAGATAAATTGATTTGCTACTTACACAGCTCATGTAGAGAAAAGTTAGAATCTGAACCCAGCTGTGTCTTTTCCTCTCATAGATGCTTTTGTCATTACTCCATATTGCCCAAATATTATTATTTGATGTCTGACAGTAGGGTGTAATGGAGTATGATAAGAACTGATTTTTAATCTAGCTCTGCAAATTATTAGCTGTTTGACCTTGGATATTAATTAATAAATTCTTAAGGACTCAGTTCTATATTTTTTTCTTTTTTTTCTCTTTTTCTTACAAATTGGGGGTAATAATACCTACTACAGGCCCTGAAGTTTAAATAAAATTCATATGTAAAAGTATCTAGTACAAAATATCTGTTCAATAAATTACAGCTTCAGTTCATTAAATTATGTGAACATCTCCAAAAATTTCAGCATCCTGGGGTTAGGAAGATAAATAGATGGTTGGATTCATATAGGGCTAATGGAGCAAATAGAAGAAAAAGATAGAGAGCCGGAAAAGTGAGAATGCTGGTAAAGAACTCACTTTCATGACCGTTCACAGGGTCATGGCCAAGATGGGGAGACAATGAAACCTGGAAGAGTCTGGTTCTCTGACAAATAGAGAACATCCTTGGGATGAGCAACTTTAATGAAGTTGGGGGGAGAGAGGAGCTTCATTTGGAGAAAAGGAATGGAAGAAGAAAATGGAAGAGGACTTTAATTAGGTCAATCACAACCAACCCAGAGCAAAGAATAATTCACAGCCTGAACAACTGCATAGCTATTTAAATACTCTCACTCCGATTTTCCTGATGGGATCAGCTTTGAGAAAGGTTGACCAGGAGGACCTCATACTGTGATTAGTCATAGTTTTGCTGCTGATTTGACTTGGAATGCAGTGTCTCGATGCGGCTCAGAAGTATTTACCAAACAAGAGCTTCTCTATTTCTATGACAGCCTTACCATGGAAAAAAACAAAACAGAAAAGAAACCACGCAAAAAAAAAAAAAAAAAAAACAACCCACAAAAAACAGAGCTCCTCCGGTTGAGTAAAAGCATATGGACTTCCTACCAAATGTTACTCATGTTCATTTGATTTCTAATTATATACCTTTCTGAATTCCTGTTACCAACAACCCAATTTTACAGTCTTTCTACAAAGAATTTTTTGTTACTTTTTCCTAAAAGTAAAATGTTTTCTCTATCTCTGTGTAGCCCAAGACTAGAATTCTGCTGCATCTATACAGACCTACTTGGTTCTTTTTTAACTGCCTGCCTGTTTGCTCAAGTATTGTCAACCTCAGGTCCCCAGCTCCTGTGATCCACCAACTTGCTGTACCCTCTCCAATGCCTAGAATTGTGGTACCCCTTCAATATTGTTCATTGTCAGTTAGATATTCCTCGGCCCTAACAAATGAATCAAGCTCACGACAGACGTCTACCAAGTCAAGTCTCACTGATAAATCTCAATGTATCCCCAGGAATTATTAAAAAGCAGTTCAGAAATATGAAGTATTATAGATTTCTAAAACTTGTATGTTCTCTTCTTCAGCTAATATTGTAAAAGCTATTCATTATTTGTTTTCTCTCTGAAATTTGAAATTGTTTTAATTCTGTCCAGCATTGACTCCAATATCCCCACGAGACATACCTTACTGTATGCAGAAGAAATGCTAATTAGCGATCCTTTAAGTGACAAATGAGACACTGCAGTAAGTAAAGTAGCACTTTGGCTTACACTGAACTTCATACCTGAGCGCATAGCCTCTTTCTGAATGCTTTCATAGTCATGCCAGTCCTTTCTTCTCAAACCATCTGTCCATGCATAGAATTGCCCATCTCCCAGGCCCAGTGGAAATGTCTGTGGAAAAGGAAAGTATTCAGAGCATAAAAAGGAGGTATTTCCTTTTGCATGGTAGGTAAACACAGCCCAGTACATAATAGGCAATCAAAGAATATTTATTGAATAATGATTCTTCTAAGTATACTGAAAAGAAAGCTATTGCTAGTGACAAGGTTAATATACATTTTAAAACCCTTTTCCAGCTTTTAAAATAAAAGAATGGGTCACCCACAACCCCTACCATTTCCTATTTTGTTTCACCCAGAGACATTAATAACTCACTGCATCACCTCCTCTGAGCAAAATACTAGTAATGGTATTAAATGGAATTAATTTTGTTTGTGATTTGTACAGTTTCATTCATTTTGATCAAGTACATTTGAATGGCCTGATAATAATATTAGCAACCATTCAGTGAACTCTCACTATGAGCCAGGCACTATGATAAATACTTTGTGTATAAAAGATTGTTTAATCTTTATGATAGTCTGTGGTTGTAAATCTCCATTTTTCTGTCAATTAAAGTAAGGCCCAGAGAACTAAAATCATTTGAATTCAATCACAGTGGCAAAGTCAGAACTTGGAACAGTTCTGTTAAGACCAAAACTGTGGTCTTAACAACTATTAATACTGTCTCCCATCTAGATTTCTGTTAAAGTATGGTGCATGGTTACACTTGCAGTTGAAATTAGCACCTACTCAACAACTGTCGTCACAACATATGTTTTATGCTTTGTTAAAACCCAATATGTTCCAATGTCAACTTGAAAATTATGTTTGTGTACATTGCTGAAACTACTTTTTTGGTGTTTATTTTTGGTAATAAGAAACAAATGTTTTGAATGAAATTTATTTTCACAATCTTAATACTCAACATAATGTAAAATAAATGTTTTCATATTCACATATTATTTTTCTTTTATTTGGTTTACTTTCTGAAATAAATAATACGTCTACAGAATGAAGAGAAAAAAATTAAAGTTTCAATTTAGATAAAACAAAAGATGAATAATTTCAATGAAGAAATTTTATTCTAAGAGGCTTTCCAAGGCAAATAAAATGTCTTATTTCTTAGTGTGAAACAGTATGACTATTGTGCTTATGAAAAATTATCTCAGTCCATCTTTGTAGGCTATAAAGGATCCACATGTTTGAAAGGATGAAAATGGAGCTTGGCATAAAAAAAAAAAGTACTTAAAATCAGAAGAAAGATTTGCCAAATCAGATGCCTGTTATCTAGATATTTAAAGGAATTTGTTACAAGATTGGTGTTTTCAGGAAAATGAAAACAATAGAAGAATAAACATACAAGGATGATGATGAGTTTATGTAAAATGTTAAGGATAATAAGAATAAAAGTTAAAAGGAAGATGACAAGAAAGAAAGTTATGGAGAGTTAACAGAAAAAAATATGGTAAAAATAGAAGAAAATGGGAAAAATAATTTTGGAAAGAAATTTGGGCTTATAATAGCAAACATTAAAAACATATCATGTGTTTTTTCTAATTGATATTGATTTCATAATTAGAAATTTTACCAAAACTCAGCTGAGAATCAGAAGTTTTAAATAATCAAATAGCTTTAAAATACAAAACTCATGTTTTGTTTCAAACTTGAATTCACAATAATAAACACTGAGCAGTAATGAAAATATCTTACACTGATTCAAATAATACCAATTTATAAACATCACTTTCAGATTAAAATAGATAACTTCAAAATAAATTTTGACATTAAACATGGAGATGTTCTTGTGTAAACTCCAAATATACAAAACTCTCTCTGGTTACCTAGTGGTTCACAAACAGGCCACTGAACATGGAGGGCAAGGAGAGCCCAAGGAAAGAAGCAGACCACTCCAGTATGGTAGGTGACAGGTGTAATAAGCAAGGGAACTTAGATATGAGGCTTGTCTTGGGCACCACAAGACAAGTAGATCCTTGCACAGGCCCACAGAATCTTAAAAGTTTATATAGAGACCTTAATTGGGTTCAGTCGCATATGCAGTCTAATAGTCTCAACAACCCCTTACTCTCTCAAGGCTGTTGTTTTAAACAGCTCCTAGTGTGGGAATAGTAGGTGCAGTGTACATTCCAAGGACAAGGGAGGGGTTCGGAGCCTCCAATTGCCCAGGTCCCATTCTCCTGTCAGCTGGTGGTCATGTCTTCATGATGATCTCCTCCAACACTTCACCCATCTTGACCAGCTCTTACAATCTAACACAGTCCCCCTCTTCTGCAATGTGCCCTATGAAGTCGGCAAGGGTTTTATTAGCATGGAAGTGATTCATTTGGTTGCTATCTGGCTGCATTGAGGCAGAGGTCACAAGAACAATATAGGCACACACATGTGAAAACACAGGTTAAGATAATGATTCCCAACATTTTTTTTTCCCCCTCCAGGAGCCCCAGCGTCACAACCATTGATTTACTAAGTCCTCTAGGCTGGGGGTTAGAGTGCTCTGGATGTAGTTCCCCCTCACCCAGGGGTGCTAAGTAACTCACCCATCCCAGTAGGACATCTCATTGCAAATTCCAATAGATAATTCCTTTCCTAGGTATAATGGAACATGGTATTCTCAGCAGCATAGCGTGTTGATCCCAAAACTTCCATACCTTTATAGTACTTGGTACCTTGACAGGGGTCCCCAGTCTGTCATATGGGGCAATAGAGCCTACTGGTTGACCATAAAATTGTACTAAAGCTTCGACAGTACTTTAGTCCACCTGGCCAAAGTGGTTTTGTCTGTTAGTAATTCAAACTGCTGCTTTACTATTTCCTTTTCTATTTTCTACCAAACCTGTTGTTTTGGGGTTATAGAGGAGATGAAATCTTTATTCAATGCCATGTTCTTTTCCTCAGGCTTGCACATCACGACCTTTGAAATGTAACCCCCAATCACCATCTACTCAACGAGGGTATCCATATATGATACTCAGCTTCTCTAATCCCCTAACAGCAGCAGCCTAGTTTGCACAGAGACAGAGGGAAGCTGGGGTTAATTAAGCCAGCGGCAGTGTCCACACAAACAAAGGTATGTTTAGAAGCCCCCTAGGAGGTAGGGTGCCAAAATTCGCTAATATCTCACTGCTTGGGAATGCTATCTTTTGGAAAGTCTGCCCCCGACTCCTTTGGCAGTTGCCTGAGGCATTGTTTAGAACCCACAGAACATGCTGTTACTGCATTAAACAAGTCACTGTATTTCAAGGGCAATGTGTCATCTTTGGTAATATACCATCCCACCCAGGCACTATGGTGCTTGTTCTTCCTATGCAACCAATCTGCTATATCTACTAAAGGGTCAGTTTATGGCTCTTACCTAAGCCTGAGCATCAGCTTGCTGATTGCCAGGTGTCAGTGCCTTTAGGAATCTAGACACGGAAGGCAGTGAGGTTTGCCTCAGGCTATTGCAGGTAAATCCAAATGCGTTTCCCCATATCCTGACTCCACAAGGGCTTATTCATGATCATTCACCCCTCAGGTTCCCATTGTCCAAGCTAAAGAGTTAATCGCTTTAGAACAACCCAACTGTCAGTGTAAAGAGTTAAAGGCCAAGTGATCACCAGCCAAACTGTTAATGAGTTAAGCCCACTGGCTGCTATGGTTTATTCTTGTTTCCATCCAGATGGTGTCAGTATTGGACTGAATAACAACAGCAGTCTCTGGATAGATAGCCCTGACTAGATCAATCACTAGGAATTTCCCCTGTTCCTTCTCTACAGGCCATTGTAGCCAACACAGAAATAGGGGCAGGGACATTTGGAAGATCTACATCCTCTGCAATGCCTAGTAGCTCCTGCATTCCCAGAAACTGTGGGCTGGCGGACATGGTGCTCCTCTGCTGTAAACAGGCATGCCGCTTAGTCAAAGTGGGAGTTTGAGCCAAGGCAGAAGTGGATCAATGCCACTGTCAGGTGGGGAATAAACTTCCTTCGAAACCCTCAAATCCCTACAAAGGCTTGTACCTCTTTCATGTCCTTAGAGGTTGGGTAGCTTCCCCTCACCCAGGGGTGCTAAGTAACTCCGCATCCCAGTAGGACATCTCATCGCAAATTCCAATAGATAATTCCTTTCCTAGGTATGATGGAACATGGTATTCTCAGCAGCATAGCATGTTGATCCCAAAACTTCCATACCTTTTTAGTACTTGGTACCTTGACACCTTCTCTCAATCACAGCTTCTGGGACAACCCACATCTTATCCAACCAGATGACCCTCAGATCTTGCCTGCCACCCCATGATATATTGCAGGGCAGTGCAGGTAGCCTTGAGGAAGCACTTGAAAAGTCCATTGTTGCCCCTCCCACATGAAGGCAAATTGATCTTGTGACTCAGCAGCTAGGAGTATACTGAGAAAAAACCCCAGAAAAACAAACAAACAGAAAAAACCCTTGCTAAGTCCAATACTGCATGATATGCTCTTAAGACTGGGGACAAGGTATCTAAGATGGTGGCAATGTAGGGCAAAGCCACATGGATTGGGAACACTACATTATTTAATTCTCAGTATTCCGTGGTCATCAGCCATGAGCCTTCTGGCTTATTTACTAGCCTTATCAGGCTGTTGAAAGTACAATGGGCAGGGCATATAATACCCACTTGGTACAGTGCTTGGATAGTTTCTCCTATTTACTTATACCCCCAGGTAATTTATATTGATTGACAGTTACCAATTTTCATAGGGACTGGTAGACTTACTGGTGCCCAGTTGGTGTTATCCCTCAGCACTGTTTTGATTGCTCTAACCCAGAGGTAGAATTCATGCAAAACGTTTTTGCGGAGTTTGACCTTATAAGGTATCAGTGCTCAATATGTTTTCTGGTATAGGAGAGATAAAAACCTCATACTCTTGGGGCAGGGGGGTGGGTGATGGGTGGAGAATGCCCAATTTGCAGTGTCAGAGCAATCTTCCTAACCATAACCATTTGCCTTCCATAACCACTGATGGCTCTGAAGGGGCTGGAAAACTTCTGAGGGTTACTATATATTAGAGAATATTTATCTCTGTATCAACCAG